GGGGTAGCACTGTCGAAAGTTGTTGAACACTTCGTTGGAGCTCAGGGGTCATCACGCACGCCTGAACAAATGCATGTAATACCACCTCGCCAAACCGTGTGATGCCGGGTTCGAGGAGAGTCTAAGAAGGGTTTGTCTTCCTAGTTGTGTTGGTGCGTTGGGCTCTGTTTGAAGTTTGGTTTTCATTAAAACGGGGGTTCTGAGGCAAACGAGAGGCGTAGAAGTTCGGCAATTCCATCGCCTCCCGAGTTTCTTGCAGGATCTTATCGCACTCCCTGGCAGAGCCATAGGACAGCTCTCCTTGTCTGTTTCAGCGGGGTAATGTGCTATGAAGAGTATTAATTTATTATCTTTCTAATTTATGTCTTCTTACTCTCGATCCTTCACTGCTGTCGGATTCTATGGCATGGAACCTCGCACCTGCCGTCCACCGGAATCCGCTGCACGACCGGAGTTTTTGCGGTTCCCCCGGGGGGGTTAATGAATCAAGTTGAAAGGAGCCCAATAACTTTCTTTTTTATATTGTTTGTTTATTTAAAGAGGGAAAAAATAGTTTTTCCTTTTAAGGTGGAATTTTACTTCTGGGAGTTCCTGTCAGTGCGGGGGAGTCTCGAATGGACTTGTCCTCGCCTTCTGACGCAGAAGCCGTTTTCGTTTGTCATCCTTGTTCTGCCGACTTACATGAACTTCTCTCATTGTTTGTTTGCTTTCTTACAGTTTTCAGTTTCTGTACGGGAAAGTGCCAGTTTCCTCGAATGCATCGGCGGGTTGCCAACATGAGTTTCCTCGACTGGTCTTGCTGACGGTCGCTGATGAGCGAGAATATACTTTATGACTCCAGTCTTGCAGGTTGGAGAGTCCCCCTTCTTGGGAATTCTTCTCCTCCTGAATATCCTCGTTCTGCTCTCCTTCTAAAGCCACAAGACACCACGCATCGAGATGGAGTGCAACGTAAGTGGGGCAGGGCCTCCACGACGGCGCGACAGTCGAGGATCTCACTGTTGTCCGCATCATTTTCTGCCATTTCCGCTGCGATATTCTTTGTCTACGTGTGCAGTTTGTTCGTGAGAAAGACAATTAAGGCTGCGTCCTTCGCCCGCAGGTTGGCCGCTAGCTGGGGGAGCGGAAAATGCGCGGAATCCGATCCAAGTAGCGCACCATCCCATGAAAGCACATCCACAGAAGAGGAACAGGGCTTACAAGATGCTGGCGTTCAATTGTTCTCGGGTCTTATGCCGGTGCATGAGCTAACATCAGATATACAGCATGCTTCTTCACTGGAGGCGGCCGCCGGCGCGTCAGCTGCGGTTTTCCAGGCAGAAAATGCTGAACAGGTAAAGACAGACTTGAAGAAAGCACCTCTTAAGAGGAGAAGCGAAGAATTATTCGATGAGGAGGGTTGGGGAAAACTGCTGATACTTGAGGTACCGCTCGACGACGGCACGCTACAGCCTGCCTCCCCTCTCGATCCTGCGTTGGATGCTCTTATTGACACTCTATTAATTGGCAGCGAAGACCCCTTTGCTGAATCGGCCTGGCTTTCAGTCGGCGCACACGATATATTTGAAATTATTGATCTTTCCGTTGGTTCGCGGCCCGCCACATCAGCAGCAGCCTCTGGACTGGACGGGAGAGCTCCATCGAGTAATATGCATGAAAGGCCGCCAAAGCCCCCTCGAGCACCAGGAATTCCTAGGCGAAGCCGCAGACCGAGAACTAACGATATAAAAAAGCCATCTCCAGGCGCCTCAACCCCCCAAAATGTACCAAGTGGCTCAGCTGCTGATGCTGCAGCAGGAACCTCTGGCCTGGACGGGAGAGCTTCATCGAGTAGTGTGCATGAAAGGCCGCCAAAGCCCCCTCAAGCACCAGGAATTCCTAGGCGAAGCCGTAGACCGGGAACGGACGGCAAGCAGAAACCATCTCCAGGCGCCTCAACCCCCCAAAATGTACCAAGTGGCTCAGCTGCTGATGCAGCAGGAGACTCTGGCCTGGACGGGAGTCGTCCATCGAGTAATGTGCGTGAAAATCCCTCAAAGCGCCGTCCAGTACCAATCATTCTTAGAAGAGGCCGTATGCAGAGAATTGGCGATGAGCAGGAGCCATCTCCAGGCCCCTCAACCCCCCAAAATATATCCGATGGCTCAGCTGAAGTTGCACTAGGAGCCTCTTGCCTGGACGGGAGAGCTCCATCGCGTACTGTGCATGGAGCGCCCTCAATGCCCTCTCCAGCAACAGGGACTCGTAGGAGAGAGCGTAAGCAGACATTCAACGTAAAGCAGGAGCCACCTCCAAGCCCCCCAACCCCCCCAGTTATGCCAGGTGATTCAGTTGCAGAGCATCTAGTGTAGATGGCACTAGCTGAGAGACCTGTAGAAGAAGGAATCATCTTTCTGCAACGCGATCTAACCATAGTGCCCTCTTCTGATGACTCTGCTGTCCCGCCGCTGCTGCTGCCTGCGGGTATCATGGCGCATGAGCAACGGGCGTCACCTCTACACGTTGGAGCTGCTACATGCAAACTGTGCATGCATGCATGCAATGCACTAGACGCCACCACGCGTTGCGTTCTGTATTTGCTGCAGCAGTCGCCTCTATCTGTCTTTCGACTGTCTGGTGTATGCGTGTGTATGTGTGTATGTGTGCACATAGCTGTTCCGAGCAGCTGACGAAGCGCATTATTCCCGGACTGAACAGT